TTGTAGTCTTCTGATGGCCATACCTTTAAAGTCATACTTTTGTTTTCCTATGCAATGATTGGAATTAAACTGTTATTTCTTTAGTGGCAGCTGAGATTCTCATGAACATCTCAGTAATAGCCTTTTTTGTTAATTGCTATTTTTTTTTAACTTTTTTTTTTTAAGTTATCAGACTTGAAAAGGTGCAAAATTGGCAGTACTTACTTTGGGATTTCACAACACATTCAAAAAGGCTTGGGGATTAATATAATTAATTTGTTTTATAGTCACTTTTCCTGCAGTTGGGATCCTGATTCCCAGTCTAGTCACTGTTTCCAGTGTATATTGTACTCGTAGGTAAGGGAAGGTTTGGGCCTTGTGCGCTATGGTGACAGTCAGGCAAAGGGAGACAGAGTTTGTTATGAAGAAGAAAATTCATCTAATTGCTAGGCTGGCAGAAAGCGTTGTCAGCAGTGTTCTTTTTTAAGTATGTTTCTTTTTCCCTTCTTTTTCAGTTTTTAGACATCTCCCTTTTTCCTTATTTGTTCAGTCTTCCCACAGTTTTGCTTTATTGTTTTGTTTTTGTGTTTCCTCCCCTCCTCTGTTTCTTTTGCCCTGGTAGAATTTGAGCCTGGTAATACCAGAGCAGCAGTCTCACTCTGAATATTTGGGTGCCATCGTGTCATTGGGCCAGCTCCTGGTTCCCTAGGAGGCGTTTTTGTGTACTCGCTGTACTGGGGGCGTTTCAGGAGGGAACTGAGGCGTTGTTTCTTCTCCTCTGCCCGGGGAAGATCGATTACCCCACTCTGAGTCCTGACAGAGGCTGGTACAGCCTGTTCTTACAGACCTTTAAACCCTGGAGACTCTGCAACCTCCCCACCTCAAACAGTCCGGTGCTACGCTTGCTCTCTCCGTCATTAAAAAGTTGTGTTTCTTTTTTCCCCTTAGGTTTTTGGTGTGTGCGTGTTTTTTAACTCCTCCGTCCTGGGTTGCAGCAGTCCAATAGTGAAGTGTAGCACTTCAGTGAGTGAATTTCATCCCGTTTTTCCAGATAGTTTCTGCAAATTGCCAGGACTGTTTCAGTTCTCTTTCTGTCCGTCACGTAATTGCGATGCCTCCAAAGCTGGCATTATCAGCAAATTTTAAAAGCACGTTCTCTTGTCCATCGTTTGTGTCATTAGTGCAAATAGTGAGTGGCACTGGATAGTCAGGGCCTGTGTTTAGGCTTGGCTGTAGCCCTTCTATTTTGACATTGAATCACATGGATAACTGCTCTTGGAGAATGTTTCTTTCCAGGCAGCGTTGCGCCCAGCCTGCTCAGATTAACCCGGGGCGCATTCCTTAGCTTGCTTATAGGAGTGTAAAAAGTGACAGCATCACAAGCTCTAGCAAGAAGTTAAATAGCTCCTACTGAGCAGAGCTCGATAAAAATTCGCAGAGGTGCTAATGAGGCCTGGCTTTCAGTGGTGCCCAGTTCTCCACCTCGCTTTCCAGCTGGCCTGCGGGAGAGGTGATTTGCACCCCTCTGTGCTTGTGTCACAGGCTTAGTGGGCCTCTGACTGTGCCTTGCAGCTCTTCAGCAGCCTGCTGTAACGGTGGGAGCTCAGCCGATGCCCTAGTTCACAGGGCTTTAGCCCAGTCCTTAGTCTCTCAAGCTCGTAATCTGGCTGTAATCTAGATAGGGGGAATCCTGCTGCCGAGACTGACTCGGATCCAACTGCATGTGGACTTGACTTTCTTCTAGGACTTGTCTGTATCTGTAGCTGTGAAAAGAGCTTTAGCTTTTAAAAAAAAAAAAAATCCTGTTATACAGCTCTACTGTGGTTCTTAGCAAATAATCATTACATGTGCTGGTTAATTGTTTATCCATTAACTTACTATGTCAATTGATCAAGCAAGTAGAACCCTGTTGTACCTGGCACCGCGCGGGGCAAAGGAGGAGGGAGGACATCCTTTCCTCGTTGGCTCCTGTCTGCGCGTGCTTCTTCCAGCGTTATCTAGATGGTATTTGTCTGCTTGTTTTCATCATCAGTTGCAATTGCCAGCATGCCAAGTACAAATTCAAGGTGTGTTCAGGCCTGTCTTGGCTTTGATCAAGCAAACCTCTTCTTTTGAGAAGTGCGTTGTATTGCCTCAAAGCGTGAGCATCTCCTCAGGCTGAAGAAAACTACGATTGGTTTCCCGATGTGAGCACAAACAAAAAATATAAAGCAAGATAGCTGCTTTATTTCCTGCAGTAGCCTCTAATACTGCAAGCACAGATGTCCCCCCCAAACAAAAAATTTGTTGCGCAGAGTGCTGAGGGGGGAAATAAAACAGGACTGCTGTAACCGAAGGTCACATCCGTGCACGGTGTCGAAGCACCTGTTGCCTGGAGTGGGGTAGTGCTGTATTATGTTCACTGCGCGCTCCCGCTCCCCGTGACCCCCAGTTATTTCGGAAAGTCTGCCGTTAGTCTGGTGGTATGGTCTGTATTCCCCAATGGCTCTGATTGGAAAGTTATTTATATATGTCCGCTTCTATGGAGAAAATCATCAGCCATCCGAAGCCGATCTATAGCTGGTGAAATGACTTCACTGCTGGGAAAAGATAAAGCAGAACCTTACGCTCTGGGAGTAATGATACGTTTTGGAGTTCCCTGCAGTGCGTTGGTGGTCATAGGTGAAGTTTAAAGCTTCTAACAGTGCGGATCGGTTTTCTATCTAATCATGGTAAAGAAGGTACAGAATAGTGCTAATGTAGGGCTCGCGTTAAAGGGAGGCTCCACAAACTTGACAGAGCAGTGGATAAAGTTAGTGGCTTTATCATTTTACATTTTAGTGTATTTCCACCGGGAAAGGTTAGTGCCAATGTGTCTTTTTTTTTTTTTTTTTTTTTTGCCCCACTGCACACTAGGGGAGCAAGGAAGTCTGTGGGGTGCATGTACGCGCGTTTGTGTTTGAGCTGCTCTGACAGATCGCATGAAATGCCGTGCGGGTCCAACGAGCCTCCGGCTCGCCAGTTGCCGCTTCCAGCCCTAAAGAGTTGTATGCTGCCATGACGTTAGCAGCCACCGTCGGGAGGTGGCAGGGCCTCTAACCCCCTCGGCGCTCTCGCTCGAGGAGGGCTGGCCTTCTTCCACAGATGAAACCCTGTGGATGCTGGGCTTCCTTTGGCATAGGAGAAGAACTTGGCCCAATTTTTCTTCACTCAAGTTGGTGTGGAAATGTTTGGGTTGGGTTTTTTTGTTGTTGTTTGGGTTTTTTTGAAGGCAGCTGATTTTTGTTTTTTAGACTTGCACGATATTCGCCTTCTGTAGCAATAAACTTATGTGCTACTTTCAAGACAAAATGATGAAAACGAATGTTCTTTCAAAAGCAGCTAAACACGTGAATTATTAAAACGTTGAATTATTTCCAAATTACAGCTCTTTCGGAGCAGCTCATTAAGAGTAATTGCAGTGTGTTCTCTGAAGGATTTAACATCAGAAATGTTATACTGTTTGGGGGACTTTTTCTTGTAATTTTGTTTGTGGATGGATTTTTTTTTTTTAATCATTCTTTCACACAATGTGAGAGTTTGGGTTTCCTTACGTTGGCTTCGGTGAAGGGTTGCCAATTTGTCGCATCTGTATTTTTTTCAGTGTAGCTGTCAAGCTGTCACAGTTATTACAGAGCAGTGTAAAGACCGAAGAGGTGTTTTACCGCATAGATGCCCAGGCGATGGAGCGTGACTGTGTTCAGAAACCAGCAGCCAGGGCCTATAGCCCTGCAGTGAGCCGAGCCGTGCTCCCACGGGAGCTATATGGTGGTTCATGCGCATCGGGGCCTCTTACCTGGGCTGCAGATCTGGGCTGAGGAGGAGGATGGGGAAATTCTGCAAACGGTCATAAGTGGTGAAAGCTTGCATCACTGTTAATGGATATATCTTTTTTTTTTCTTTTCTTCTCCCTCTTTCCCCTTTTTCTCCTGACTCAGGCTCCTAGCAATGTGGTAAAGGTGGAACGTGCTTTATAACTGCCCAAATATCTCTAAGCCCTGCTGTGTAACTGACTTTTGCTCGGTCCCTATTCCCCCTGGTGCCGGCAGGGTGGTAGGCATCATCCCTGACGGGGACCCAGGCCCTGCATACGTGGGGTAATGCTCCTTGAGGGGGCTCTTGCTGGGCGAGAGCTGGCATGAGCTGTGCTTCCAGTCTGTGTCGTTCCCAGGCTTTCTGTGGGACTGAAAACAAGTCATACGGCATCTGCATGCCTCAGTTCCCCTCTCTAAACTGCAGACGGGAGCCCTAACGGCTCTGTCTTTTGAGCTTGCTGAGAGGATAAAGCCATTAGAGAGTGTAAGACGTGCAGATACCATGGCCCATCATCTAAGATGAATAAAAATAGAGAAAATCTTAATACAAAATCTTTGTATCAACCTTTTAATCATAAAAGGGCAAATATTGATTAAAAATGCCTATCGATTTTTGAGGGAGCTTTTCCTTTCTACAGTCTAAACTTGGAGACGTAGCTTTATGTGCATTAGGTCTAGAATTTGGCTAGACATTCAAATGATCTGTGCTTTTTATCTTTATTATGCATCATTGTTATTACAGAGCTAGCTGAAATGACTAGGCAAGTTGATGCAGAAGTTTGCTTGCTTTCCATTTGAAATCAATATGTGAAAGTACTCTTAAGCCCTAAGCAAACTTGCTGAAGGTTCTTGTAGCGGAAACATGAAATGTTAGGTATTTTCCATTTAAATTAGTACCAGAGTATGTGAGTCCTGTGGTCACTTGAATCAGAGAAAGTTTTTGTGTTGTAGCCAGAGGTTGCCTTTACCTTTTAGTTGTTCCCTTCTTGCTCTGGGCAATGATTTAGTACAGCCACAGGGCTAAGTATCTCCTAATGGATGTGTAGGATGGGGATAGCTCAGTTGAATGAGAGCTTGGAGGGAAGGCTGGTCCCCATGCTGCTGGTAGATTCCCTACCCTCTGCCAGCCCTTCAATCTAAGATACTATAGAAATAGTAATAACGGTCCTATTCCTTCCTCTTCAACAGCCCCCCGTGGTTTTAGAGTGCTGGTCTTTGAGATGTCACTGAGAAATGAAAGGCATGTAGATACATCGACGCTGAAGAGGGTTGCTGCAGACATGAGCAATATAATAGAGAGCCTGGACACGAGGGAGCTCCACTTCGAGGGGGAAGAAGTGGATTCGGAAGTGCTAAGTGATCCAAAAACTGCCGGTGAGTTAACACCCCGGTGTCTTCACCGTACATCCCACTTAGCTTTAGTAACAGAGCCCCTCCAAGGTGAAGACAAGGCTTTGTGTGATGGTTGTCCAGCAGTCTGGGTGAAGGGGGGTGTGTGATGGCCCATAACACTGGTGAGACTGGCACGGTTCTCCAGGGCACGGGCACTCCAAAGAGTGTGGGATCAGGAAGTGAACCCTGCAAGGACTGGGGTCCCCTGCTGAAGCCTTGCAGCGTTGAACTCTGAGTTTTAAACACCCAGTGTAATGCTGTTGATAGAATAACTTTGCTGGCTTCCAAGGAGACTCTGTTACTAAGCAATCTAAGATGATCAGTGGAGCAGTATCCACGGATTTTCTCACTTAGGTGTCTGGTGGATGTCTTTTACATTTTGGCCTTTAATTCTGATTTATTGCTGCTGCTTAATCCCCCCCCAAATTACACAATATTTCTACCACATGTCATTTTCAGGGCCTTTTTAAAAATTCTGAAAAAAAACATGCCATCACCCCTTCTCTTGAATTTCCACTACTGCGTAAGAGACCTAAATCTGTAAGCTGCAGAGGTCTATGACTGAACAAGTTCTGAAAATGTACCAGCCAAAATCCTGTGGGTTTTGCTCTGCGGAGGCACAGCAGGGCAGCAGCCAGCTGGATGCAGGCAAGCGCAGGCACGTTTTCCCATGCAGGCAGGGTTGCTGTGCTGTGCTGGCACGCATGGCCTCTCTGCACAGTGCCTGCACAGGAGGGACATTGGGCTCCCGGATGTGCCACCACATCCGAGCTGGACCGGGGTGTTAGTGGTCCGAAAGTCCCAGCAGGCTAAAGAGGAGGGAGGCTTAACCCCCTCTGCCTTGCTGGCAACGTGGTGCCTTTCTCTTGCCGTTCTGAGGGACTGTGCTTCAACACTTCCTTTATACATCTGTGTTGAGGCGGAGACTGTTGGTCTGGTGCGTGATTTTTCTCCTGTTGAAAGATATAGTAAAACCTCAATGGTTTCTGCCCAGTCATTGACCTTATTTTAGGACCAGGAGGTGCTATTCTTTGTGCTTGAATTCTTCGAGTCGAATCACCTCTGTAAAAATGTCTTTAAGCTCCCTTATGCAGGTTTAAATAAAACCTGGTATGTTTTAGTAAAAATAAATTGCAGAATGCTCTAAACTGTGTTAGAGTATTCCACTCTCTTCTGGCTTTTTTGCCTTCACTGATTTTTAAAATGCTATTAAGCTAACTGGGATTTTATGATCTTTTTAGTGATCATTCCATTCTCTGCAATTTATCACACACGTGGATTCAAAGAGCCGGATATACAGGCGTATCTCAAGGGCTGTCCTATCAGAGTGCGTGTTTTGGAAGTTGAACGTTTTACTTCAACAAAGAAGGTCAGAACCTACCCTCAAAGAAATCTCATTTAACGTCCATAGAACTATACTAAAAGTGCTATTTGTGTGTTAATTTTGTGCATGTCTGTTCATGAGTTCAGGAAGTAAGAATGCCTGTGTCTCAGAAAAGCACTGAGAGACTGTTTCCTGTCCTTTTAAAAATTTAATGAAATAGAACAAGAAATTGAAAGAATAGTGATCCATAACTAAAATATAACAAGGACTCTTTAGATGAGCTGCTGCTGGAAAATTGCTTATTTCAAAGCTGGAACGCTCGTGTTACTCTTTTTGTGCAGGTACCAATTCCAAATGTTTACACTATTGAGTTAACACATGGAGAATTCACATGGCAAGTGAAAAGGAAGTTCAAGCATTTTCAGGAATTTCACAGGGAATTGCTGAGGTACAAGGCCTTTGTACGAATCCCGATCCCTACGCGGAGGTACGTATGCAGCCTTGCAGCTGGGATGCCTTTTGGAAAGATGCGACTTTTTCTTTTAATAGTATCTGGTGTAGCTCCACTGAACCTATTTATTCTCATGTAAATATGAGGCGAATGGAGGAGCATAAAGGAGAATAATTTATTTCAGTCTCTGTAGAGACTGCTATAACAGCTATAATCTAAATAGTCCAAGAATCTCTCTGCTGACTCAGAAAGTATTTAGGGTCCCTGGTTCATCAGCTTTTGAGCAGAATTTTTCTTGAAATGAGGGAGGAGTTGTGCCATCACTAACACAAATTGTTAGCGTAACGTGGCTTTCTGCCAGGATGGGCCAGGTGTGGGAGAGGCAGACCTCTTTGGTGTGCAGCTGGCCTTGATGCTCTGGGATGGTTTGAAGTGTAAGGGGGGGGGGGCTGTGGGAAGCGATCACATGTGGAAAGAGGCCTGGGGAGACTCCACTCTTGCTGGGGGAAATGTAGGGAGAGAACATAGAGAAAGGTAAAATTATGAAGGGTTAAGAACTAGTGGAGCATAATGTTCTAAGAATAGGGCTTAGATTCCCCTTTTCTTAAAAGGGCGAAAGGGGACCCCTATCCTCTGATTCTTGTGCATTGTGTTTTTGTTTGTAAGCCAGTTGGAAGACTGATTTCTTAACGCTTCCTGCCCGCTCATCTCTTTTAGTTTTTAAGAGTTTGGATGGAAAAAAATAAAAGATCAAATGCAAGGAGCTGCATATCAAGGAATGTACTCACTCTCAGTGGTTAGACTTGGCTTTTGGTTTTGTTTTTTCTTCCAGTCACACAGTGAGAAGACAATCTATCAAAAGGGGAGAGCCGAGGCAGATGCCAAGTCTGCCGCATACCTCAGAGAGTACAGTCCGAGAAGAGCACTTCTCTAGCAGGAGGGTAAGCGTCCAGTGTGCTGCTCGGAGCATGCAGGGATTAGAGAGATGGTGCTGGGGGGTTTCTGACTTTCAGTTACTGGGCAAGTTGTTTGCAAAGCCTCCCTCTGTCAAAGTCCTTGCTTTATTACCATTAAATTCTTTTGCTGGACAAACTTAAGGACTCTGAAAGTCCAGGTCTGAAGCCAAGTTCTGCTGCATGCAAAGAGGAAGACACTGCTCCCAGGGTTAATATGGGCAAAGACTCCCCCTGCAGTTGAGGAAAGCAAAGATGCACAGAAGGGCAGTTTCTCTGCTCCCACCTGCTCTAGTTTAAACTTAGAAGATATAGTTCACAGAGTCGAGTTGCGTGATGGAGGCAGCGCAGTGGCCATCACAATCTGAGTGATTTCAGTCCTGTCCTCCTCTGAAAGAGGAGATGACAGTCAGGCTCTTAATTCTGAAATGAGTAATTCTAGATGAGGCACACATGTTACATATAACTGTATCAGTTGTTAACAGATGGGTCCTTGTATGAAAAGGGTAGGGATCTCCCTACTTCATCATTGCAGCTTTACTATTTGCAAAAATGAGTCTGTTTAAAAAAAAAAAAAAAAAAAAAAAAAAAAAAAAAAAAAAAAAAAAAAAAAAAAAAAAAAAAAAAAAAAAAAAAAAAAAAAAAAAAAAAAAAAAAAAAAAAAAAAAAAAAAAAAAAAAAAAAAAAAAAAAAAAAAAAAAAAAAAAAAAAAAAAAAAAAAAAAAAAAAAAAAAAAAAAAAAAAAAAAAAAAAAAAAAAAAAAAGTTCTTTGATCCTATGATTGCCATTTCCAGAAAAAGACTTTACTGTTGTTAACTCCCTTCCTGGCCTTTGTTCTGCTGAAATTTCAGGTCCTGAAAGGTTGTGTCTCCTAGTTGTACAGTGCAGGATAACCTTCCCATCTGAGCAAAGCTTGGCAATTGTGCAAGAATTTTAGGAGAGTTTAAAAGAGGGGGGAAAAAGAGCTTTCTAGATCCTTTTCTCCTTGGTTTCCTTTTTCTTGCTCTGCTCCCCCCAACACACGCGCGCTGCTTTTATCCATGGGGATATAAATCACCGCTACACACCTGGATAGGTGAAGTGTTGTGATGCTAACACTCAAAAGCGAAGTCCCAATTCCATTTGTTTTTCTTCTTGCTTCATTTTGTGTGACAGCCAATTGCTTTTTGGGATGGAAGTGGCTTCTCTTTGCCATCCCTGTGGGTTAAACCTTGCTTTTTCTTTCCTGAGCTGAGCCTGTAGGACTCTGTCCTGTTCCCCAGATCCAAAGAGTTTTAATCTCTTCCTTGCCTAGTTACTGTGAGGATGAGGAGGAATCTCCTTCCTGTAATAGTTTCTTTTCTTTCCCCCTTCAAAGAGGGGTGGCAGGTCCTCCAGCGCCTGGCATGTGTGTTCTCTGTGGCTTTAGGACAGGGGTGCAGTAACTGCGCTCCCCACGTCACCCCGGGAATCTGCCATTCTGGTTGGATAGACTGAGTTGTGTCTGAGGCTGTTTTCTCACAAAGCTAACCTGTGTGGGCCAGAAACAGTAGGGCCTGATTTTGTATTTAAAGTTGCTCTGAAGGTTGGACTCGGTCAAGATAATTGACTTCTAAAATTACAGTGCAAAACAACAGCTCAGCTGATGGAAGGCACAAACGTAAATCTGTGAATAGTAAGCAATGTATAATCCAACTGTTTATGCTATTGAGCAATAATCTTCAGTAAGCACATATTATTATGTTTATCCATTCAAGCTGAAAAGTGTTTGATTTCCTGATAACCTTCTAATGCTAGACAGTTGGTTTTTTTTTTTTTCCTTCAAAATTCATGCATTCCAGCTGAAGTTTTCCATGTTTTAATTGTAGAAACAGCTGGAAGACTACTTGGCAAAGATATTAAAGATGCCAATGTACAGGAACTACCATGGAACAGTAAGTACAAATTAGAATGGTTTAAATGGCAAAAGAATATTCTCTTTACAGTGTTGAACTGACTGAAAGAAGTCCTGCAGCTTATTCTCTAACATATCAGAAACATTTCACAGACGTTTTGCAAGTGTTTTGGCTCAATGGATTTCTCCAGCGTGGATATAATATGGTTTAAAATTAGAGGAAGAGAGTGACTGGCTTCATCTTGAACCTTTTGGAGGTCCCTATTACAACACTATGCAAACCTGCACAAAGTATTTCAGTGAAAAAAGCTGACTGAACATGCAATGTTACAGCTATCTGTGCGGTTCTGGTACTGTTTAAATTGATAGGTTGATCTTTTAAGTACTAGAATAATTGGAGTCCAGACCATACATGTAACCTTTCCTTCAGTTTGGGATTCCCGTGTCATCCTGGGGCAAATCTGATTTCACTGAACGTAACTGATACTGAGTTTGTGTGAATGGTATCTTCTTACCTTTGTGGGTATCTTATCATTTCCAAAGAGTGAAAGTAATTGGTTTGTTCTCCTAAGCGTATAGTCTTTTTGAGGTGAAGAGGTGTCAAATCCAACTTCTGGCCTATTTTAAGCAAAAATATTTATTTTGAAAGCCATCCTTGAATGTTTCTTCAATAGTCCACCTGTTAACTGAAGCTGTAACGTTTCCCTGGGATGGTAACTTATTTCCCCTTTCCTTGGCTACATAATGACTGTATTACTTGTCTTTTTTTTATATCATCAGCAGAAACTGATGTGTACCTTGGATAGCTGCAGAACTTAGTGAAGCTTCTGAGCCAGAAGTGATAGCTGGAAACACTCTGTTTAAAAACAAGTCAGAAATATGGAGTATAGTTAGGATAGCTAAAGCAGCCAGTTCTTTGGATTTTTTTTTTTTTTGGTAGAAATTCTGTGCTTTAAGCCTTATGCAAGACTTCTGTTGTGCAGAAACCTTGGACAGCTTTTAGCTGGATGTTATGCTCAAGTTCTGTGTGTACTCTTGTTTTAAAGCTCAGAGTGTTGAGCATTGTTAATTAAATGGGGTAATGTGTGCACCCAGTATTGGCCAATGTGCTTTATGCTGCAAAGAAAAAGCCTTCAGACTCAGACTGAGAGGAACTGTTTTTTCTTAAGAGTGGTTCTTTTGGGGACTGGCTACAAAGCAGCTCTTCTGACTTTTAGTACAATACAGTCAAGAGCTGTGTTAATCTGCGTGTGCAAAATAATCATCTTTTGTTCTTAAGGCAAGATAGCGATAACTTGGCAATTTTGATCAGCAGCACATGCAAAACAGGAGAGATTCAATTTACAGTGTGGATCCATCTTGTCACTTTTAGGCAGGCATTGCTTTTTCAGATTTTTCTGGCAACTTCTGCTAATATCAAAAACATCATCGATCTTTGGGTTATGGTTGGAAGCAGACCGCTGGCCATCGGGGGCGACAAGCAAACCTGCGTTCTCTGGGCCCTGGCTCCAGAGCAGCTGTGGGCCTCTCGCCTCCCCTGCGCTCAATTGCCCTTCTGTCCCCGGCCCTCAGAGCCAGATGTCACGTTGCACATAAATTCTGCATGTATTGTTGTCTTCGAGTTGGCCATAGCGATGCGTTTAGTGAGAACTTTGCTGCTAATGTCAGCTGTACTGCCAAGTGCAGCTGGTCCTGCAGTTGATTCTGAAAGAAAGTACAGGGAGCAAAATATTTCCTTTCGGGGGGGGAAGGAGGGACCACATTCTCAGACTGTAGGCTAAATTGGTGAATTGAAGATTTCTGGCTTTTCCCTTGGAACCGTGTTGGTTCTCCTTAGATGAAAATGAGCATGTTGCTGCTCTTGTGGTGGGAAGTCTGTTGCCTGAGTGCTGACGAATGCTTTAACTGTTTTAATCTTGGAGCCCGTTTTGACTCCTGCCTGTTCCTCTCATCAAATCCATGCGTCGAGATTTTTGTTAAACCCTAAATTCTTTGGAAATTCAGACATGTACCCCAGCGGAGCTACTATTGCAAGCTGACCCACCTGATGTATAACTCTTTGTCCTTCAGGGACATTTTTAAAGTTGACCCGTGATATTTAATTCTGTCTTTACTTCTTTTATTTTGTATTTGTGATTAGTTAATTTTTTTTTTCAGTTAGGAGGGGATCATGACGTTATATACTGTCTCTTCAAAGACATGACATACTCTGGAAGAGTTTTGGCCTGTGAGTCTAGCTTGTAGCTGTTCTGCAGACCTGAAATCCTTCGTGGGTTACGAATCAGTTAAGGTAGCTGTGTAGCATTTAGATAGCTATGTAGCATTTCAGAGATTATACATCTAGCCTGTCTAGATGACTCTCCTGCAGACTGTGAAAATAGAGCGTACCTAAGCGTCATCCTCTAAGGATGTAACAAGTATCCTCTGCTTTGACTGGTTAGCTGTGAATGGTAACATTTACTACTCATGTTTCCCTTAATTTGTCATCATTCATATTATTATGAATATTATTATTACATATTATTTCATACAGAGTTCACAAAATGGGATTATAGATGCGTTATATTTTTGTTATCAGAACCTAGACTTTATAACCTGTCTTTTTTTTTTTTTTTTCCTCCCTTCTGGCTATGTGAATTGTGATTAAATCTCACATCTTCTAGTCCAAACCATGTTTATAGCACTTTTGTGCTAAAGTGATTCAAGACAATTACCATTCAAATGAATGTTGTGGGAATCTAAATGTGTTAATTGTCCACACTTACTTCTGGGAATTGGAAATTGGAGGAGTATAGTCCAAATACATTAGGAAACCATGCCCACGGGCTTGATTGAATTCAGTACAAGTACTGTATTAATTGTACCTTTGCATCGGTTTGTGTATGAGCTGCAGTAGCTGAAAGATGCCTAAGCAAAATCAAAAATAGGTTCTGGTTGGAGTGCAGTATGTGTACCTTTATAACACTTTGTATGAGCTTTACTAAAGGAATCCAAAAACTGCATCTTAAGTAAAAGCACGACAATGCAAGAAATACTCGGATACATACACGTAGCTGCTGTTTTGCTTGTGATGCTGCAGTTGGATCTGCAGACCATTGCAGAGGCCCCCACCCAACTGTTCCATATTTTTGATTATCGGATTTTAACTCAAGCACACTGAACACTTATAAATTTGGGTTTAGTATAGCCACTTTCATTTGTAAGAAATAGCTGACAACTTGTCACTGAACAATATTCTGAACGGTGATGCAGTTTTACTTTATTCCTGACCACAGCTGCTATTCAAGTGCTTGCCCAAGCAAGATGGGATTTTTTTGTATGTTTGTTTTTGGTTTTTAACTATTGAGTTCAAAGTAAGAACAGAAGCAAAAAAAAAAAAAAGTGTGGAGCTGCTTTTTTTTTTTTCTTTTTTCCCCTGAAATGCAGCTGCTTTATGAGAATTTTGCTTAAATAAATCATGCATGCTTGACATTGCTGGCAGAATATGATGGCTTAAAATTGCAGCTCATCCACCTTGCAGCTGGTTCTCCACCTCTCACAGCTTATCTTTCTTCAGCTGATCATTCATGTCTATCTTTTTTTTTTTTTTTTATTGCTACAACAATGTCATTGAAACTGCATTCGCTAGTCCCGTATCTCATACTCGAAATATTCTGCTGCAGCTCACTTTGAAACCAGAGTGGGATGCCTGCTCACCAGGGAGGCAGCTGGGCAGCATAAGAATTCAGATGTGAAAGAGATGAAAGTGCATCGCTATTCTGCATTCCTCTCTCAGATTTTCTGTGAGTTGTAAGCACCTCAGATGACAGGCACTGTAACAGTAAAAATGGCTAATGCGGTAATAATAATAATAAATCACCTAATCAAGTATTTGCCATCGCACTGAGGAATTTTCCTTGTAACTGATAGAACTTGTTACAAACCAAACCCCGAACATGCTTACTGCTTTGCATATAAATAATCTCCTTGAAGTATGAGTGATCATTTGCATGAGTGAACAGAAGCACAGAAGCAAGGTTCTTTTCTTTTGCAGTAGAGCCACAGAAGCACGTGATGTGGGAGGTGGGAATACCCAGGAGCTGTGCCCACCGCCAAGGCTCTGGACGTAAGAGGAGCCTGGAATAGCATGCCTAACTGGCTTCTCTCGGTCAACTCAGTAGATAGGACGTGTGTTGGATAGTGTCTGTCACCGTAGTTGGCATTTTAAAGACTCATTGGCTGAAGAACAGGTTACTGTACTGCCAGACAACTTTTCTTTTTTCTAATGCAGTAGTAGTTCTGTTTCTGTGAGTAATTCTCCCTTTCCCCTTCTGGATTTTCTTCTTCTTCAGAGGCAGTTATTTCTCTGCGTGCAGTGCTCCTCAAATTGCTGCCCTGTTTCTGTTCACAGCAAACGTTTTCAAAGGTTTTTGACGTTTGTGTGCACTGGGTTTTTTTTGTTTTATTGGTTTTTGTTTTGTTTTGTTTTGCCCAGTGTGAGAGGTATGTCCAATTTTCTGATTTTTCTCTGAAGGGGAATGCCAGCCATTTTCTGAAGAAATGGAAATAAGATCCAGACAAAGAACTGACCAGAAATTTCACTTAGGATCTCTGTTAAGAGCTTACATGGTACACTGGATTTTCTTATACTCCCTATCTGATTCTGAGTGTCATCTGCAGAAACAGATGAAACATTTGTAGGTCAGGACTGGTGCTTTTCCAGAACACGTAGTGAGGAATGGTGATAGCAAGACAGTTAGTATGAAATAATTTGTTCTAGCCAATTTCTGAAAGCATGCTGAAATTGCCAAAGAACGAGGGCATAAATTCGTTTCTACTAAATAGAGGTTACTTCATATCCTTGAGCTACTTGCAGGAAAACAACAGATCCTTTGTTCTTCTCTGTGACTTTATTGATGTGGTGAGAAGTTTGAGAAGGTCCCAGAACTAGCAGGGCATGAGGAGAAAGAAGGATCTTTTTTCCCTTGCAGAAACAGAGGAAGAATGCTATGCCTTGGGAAGGAAGCCTGAGCCAGCCTCACGGTAACTGCAGGGTTGCTGTCTCAGAATTGCCTATATTCTTTTTTTATTTTTAGTTGTTGAAAATCTCTCTGAGGCTGTGGGTCCACCTCTGTAATTCCCAAGCAAAATTGGGATTTGCCAAAGATGCCTTTGAGTTTGGTTTGTCAAAAAGCAGGTGAGAGCAGTCACTTGAGAAGAAAAGCCTTCCTTGGGATAGAAGAGGCTGTTGGCATTGAAGAGCCTGTGGGGCTTGGTGCCTGGGCTGAGCCCCCGGGGCCGGTACGGACAAAAGCCTCACCAAGGAGCCTGCTGCTCTGGCCCGTTCCTCGAGGAGCTCAGTTACCATCACGAAGGTGGATCGAGTCCTGGACTTCAGTCCTGGCATCCATGGCTGGAAAATTACTTAATTGGACGGTTCACTTTAGCTTTCCTGCCTGTAGCTTGATCAAAAAGGAAAATGCCTGCCTGTGCTCACCCTGCCCCCTCTGGAGTATGTTCGTACTGTGGCATTTTTATGTGATAGTAAGTTAAACAAACAGTGCCTGAGTGCAGGCAACCCTTTGCCACGTGAGTCAGCCTCCTCTTCAGCACTGCCTTCTGGTGGGCTGCTCTTGTTTCAGCTCGTGTCTCTGGCAGGACATGTAGGGAAGGCATTTCTCTCGGCCAGCTGGGCCCAAGACTAATAAGCAGCGGACTATCAGGAACGTCCCGTTGTGCCAAGAAAAGCCTGCTTGGTCAAAATTGCATGGCATCTTATTTTTAGATTCAAATGCAATTATGTTGTGCCTTGTCGCTGACTTTGCTTATCTTTAGATTCCTCTGTAATCTCTACTGATAAGTGAAACTGTAAGGAGTCTACTTACTTGGAGATTTATTGATTAAACCTGTGTACCGTAGGTGGGTTCATCAAGGTGTGCCTGTCCTATGGCTGCATCTGGGGCACTCTCTCATGCTGCCTGATGCAGACACGTGGAAGTCACGATGAGCACGCTCTGTGTTGGACCCGCTCTGTCCCTAGTGGTCAGCCTTGCTCTCCTCCTGCCCAATGTGACGTTGCGACTTTGCAGTAGTTTTTTGGTTCAGAGTGCCAGATGGTGGCTGCGTTGTAGTACCTGAGTACCTCCATATAGAAGGTATCTGTGGTGTCCCTTGGGGGCAGGAGACTTGGAAGGAGATGCAGTGCTCCAGGGCTCGCTGTAGAAGGACGCCTGCAGCAGTGGTGGCTGGTTGTTTGGGCGTAGAAGGAAGCAGGGAATGTGTCAGCTTGACAGTGTAGGAGGTACATCTACTTTTAATGAGCCATTAGCACTTTCACCCAGACTTCCAGCTCCATGAGAGGTTCAATAATGCCTGGAGGAAAAAGCAGATTCAGGCAGCCAGCTAAGTTCATATAGATCACTAAGCGATGTAAATTCTGATTCCTAGTTTGAGCCAGTGACCCAAGAAGGAAGATACCAATGGGTCCTTACTGCACGTTTGATCTTGATTGTCCCGGTTGTCTTGAATGCCTTCCCCAAAGCATATACATATTTTTCTTATTATAGAGGCTTCAGCTTTACTGGATAACTTCTGCTGAGACTTCTGTGTCTTTGTGGTGTGCCACTTTCATGAAGCAAAGTATTTTGTGAATTTCTAAGTATGAAAGATGGGAGAAATCCTTATGTGGTTTCTTTTTCCCCCTCCCCCCCACCCAGATGGAATTCATTGGAGTAAGTCAGCTGTCGTTCATCCATGACCTAGGACCAAAGGGCATGTAAGTTGTAATTTGTTTCCTTGTGAGTTAAGGTTAACCAAGAACATGGTTTTGTAAGTAAATATTGTTCAAACTGATAGCTTTTCCTTTCTTACTAGTAATTGACTAGGGTATATGTTCTCACCCTGATATCAAAATGTATTAATGTGTAGATACAAGTGCTACAACTTTGGGAAGTAGTCATGAGCATGAAAGGCAGAGCTTTCACAAGACCAAATTCATCATGGAGTTAATCCTTTGCTGGCACCATGGAGCTGCATGAAGGATAAATTTGGTCTGTGGGAGCTGGGGCAGTGTGTGATTTTTGTCCTAACGCGTTTGGAGGCGCCTTGGGGTCACAGTTGGAGCAGTGGCAAGGTTGTAGCCACAGGGGTCGCTCATGATAATTTCAGTGCACTGAATGCAGAGATGTGAATACCTTTCCCTTTTGCCCAGCCTCTCCATGTTGTTCAGCCCTGGGGCAGGGGGAGCTGATTGCAGCTGTGCTTGCAGGCAGAGGCTCAGCAGCCAGCTCCGTGCCATAACCTCTCTCTGATACCGCTCCTTCCTTGTTTACCTACTAGATATTGCTCCAAAGGTGTCCTAGCCCCATCGAATGCTCTGCCAGGCACAGCCTTTCCCAGCTGAATCGCAAGCAGAGCTTTTCCCTTATGCTCTCTGTGGCCAACAGTGTCAGTAAAATCTCACTGCTTTGCTTTTTATGTGTTTGTTTTCATGGCTGGAATCGCTCAAAGGTTATATTAAGACCAGGTATTTCTTGGGAGAAGGAAGGGGGCAAAAAGCAAGAGGTATGGGAGAACGGCCTGTAGTTTTGCAAGATAGAGACTTCAGCTCACTACCTAGGTCAAGGGTTTCTCTCCTTCCCCTTCGCACAACTGGTCTCAGTTATGTTGACCTGCTTGTTTGCATAGCTGTGCTATAAAGTGAGGCCCCTGCATTTTTTAAAACTTGCATGATTTACCTTAGTGGGGGAGGGGAGGGGGGTATTTTTAACCCTGCTCAGGTCAGTGATCTGGTTTTTTAAGGCAGCCCCACAGAGCGTTGCTGTGGCCCAGCTGGAGGGTGGTGACTGGTGGTGTAGGGGTGAGAACGAGGATTGGGGTGCTGCGACTGGGAGGCTGGTTTCGTGGGGGAAGCAGTGTCCTAGGGCTGGAGAAGCGACCTGTTGGCAGAGGTCAGAGAGACCCTGTGAACAGCCTCAACTATGGATGTGCTCTGTCCCCAGGGAGCCATCCCAGCGCAGGCAGTAGTCGTACGGCCACACGAACCATTTCACCCCGTCTTTACCAGATTTCTCTTTGTTTCAGAGAAGGCTTGATCATGAAACGGTCCGGGGGCCACAGAATACCTGGCCTGAACTGCTGCGGCCAAGGAAGGATGTGCTATCGATGGTCCAAAAGGTACTGCTGTGGGCTGGGGACGAGGCTGGGAAGAGGGGTGGGTGTTGTTGTGTGTTCCCCAGGCACACAGTATTAAAAACCTCATTTACTGTTTTCTCCCCAGGAAGTCTGCAAGTAAAATTCTTGCTCTATTACAAAAAGCTACAGACCATCAGGTCAAAAGAGACCATAAATTATTCCCATCTGCCCCTTCCGTGTAGAGGATGTTGGACTTTTTTCTTTTGCATTAGAATTCATAGCAGAATGGACATACTATTCCTGAGAAATGGGACTTCTTATAGCCCCAAGCTGACAGAAACTGAAATAATCACCTGATTTGTTCTCAGCTTTCTCTGCTGTCGGTGTGCCAAGGGAATCTGTGCCTTTGGGAGGGGACGCAGAGATTCCTAGCCAGATTTCAGCTCAGTTTTCTGAGCTTCACATCCTTGATCTGCAAAAAGAAAATGAGTTAATTGAAGCACAATCTGGGCTGCTTCAGAGCTGGATTAAATCAGACGTGAACCACAGCAGTAAGGAGCTCTGCTTGGTATAATTAACCTTGAAATTGAGTTAAATATGTCACCTCTTCCTGATTGCCACATGTGCCTTAAATGCCCTTGTTTTCATGGAAGTTTTCACTTGCCACCTCGTTCTTGTGTCCCTCCCTCCCCATTGCAGACTGATGTTATTTAGTCCTCGTATTCTCAAGCAGTAGAACCGATTGCTTCAGCCTGGTTTGGCCGCCTCTGAAGTGCAACCCGCTGCCAAGAGTAGCAGGGCTGAGCAGCAGCAGAGGGAAGTCTGAGATGCAGACGGGTGTGTGCTGCTGTGAGTCAGTCCAGCCCGCAGGGTGCTTAACACTGTCCTCTCAGACAGACTGTGTCTAGGGAGAAAGTTTCTGCCCCATCCGAAGAGTGGTTCTTATCCGCTGCTGCAACAGCAACAAAGCTGAAGATCGTTTAGGACCAGTGTATTTTTCTGCCATTTCCCAATCTCTGTGTGTACTGGAAAGTCCCTTGTTCTCTTCCGCAAATATTTCTTCTGGGAGCAAAGCTGATAAGAGGAGTTGCGTTATCCCTTTCCCCAGCCACTCACTCCTGCCTCCTGCAAAAATAACTAAATGTCGTTTAAAGGATGTTAGCAGTGGGGTTGGTTCCCTGGTCGCATGCATTGCTCTGCAGCACGAGGAGCTGTGCAGCTCGGCACAGCGGTGGGGCAGGACGCACGGATGGGCGCTCGCCTGGCCTGGGGGAACAAGCACTGCCACAACTGTAAAGCCTTAGCCTGTGTCTCAGCTCTGCTTAACTTCACATTGTCTGTGTGCTGTGCTCTTCCCATTGAATCTTTTTCTCATTAGGAGCATGACAGAACTTTGCATGCCTTAACGAACCTGGTATTTGTTACCTTTCAAAGGTCTGTGCATTTGCTAACTGCTTTTCATTATCTTTACGTTTTATTTTGTTCCAACTCCAAAACGGATAATGATTTGTTAGAAAAACTATGTGGTCCTAGGTGAGCTCCCCTTTCTTTCTTTGAAAGGATTTCTGTGCTTTATTTCTCCGTGCTACTAGTTAATGGACAAATCTTTCCTTTTCAAAACCCAGGCAGCACATATCTGCCTTTTAGTAATAATTTCTTTGTCTGAGCGAGCTTGCCAAGTCGTTAACCACCTTTTGATTCCAGCATTGTAGAGCCATGAGGAGCTATGGTTAGCTTAACTTTGTTTCAAAAATTGCTGCTTTCCCACAAAATTTTACTGCGTTTGTGTGAAGAAAGGTTCCTCTTTTTTCTTACTTTTTCCACCATTTCTGAATAGAATTGTACAGAGGTTATTTGGAGTGATTGCACAGAGAAATGAAGATTTAACCAGGAAGCAGTCCAATTTTTTTTTCTTCTTTACAGAAAAAGTTTGCCTTTTTCTCTCCATATCCCACAGTTAACTCTTCATTATTTTATGCAGAAATCAAGCTTTTTTGGAGGACAGTAGCATGTTCTGGTCTGTGTTGGATTTTGTTTCTCCTAGAGCATAAAAATAGGATGAGAGAAGTCTTTGGAGTGAGATTCTCTCTTAGCTATGTGGGTAGAGTGAGTAACACAAGAGGGCACTGAATCCCCAGCCACAGTCTGCAGGGACCAATAGATCATACGCATCAATAAGTAAACAAATGACAGTAATACCACCAAGAGAAGATTCTTGAAATTCTGAAGGACTTCAGGAAAAAAAATTAATTTTATAATTTTTACAAATAACTTCACACATTCTCAAACTATACAGCCGCTCAATTTTTCTGGGTAAGAGAGAAAAATCCAAAAACATCGAGTAGTGTTTTTATAGGGGAAAATATATTAGGGGGCACAGTGGTTACATTCTAAAATAATTTTCTGATTAGTGTGCAAGTGTAGTTTTGGTTGTTGTTTCCCTTAAATGCTAGACCTGTAAATTCAGCAGTCTGAAAATCCCATGACAGCCCAGCCCCTCTGATAGAGGCTCTGCCTGAGAACTCCGTGGGCTCTAGTGCGATCCGTTTTTAATACACTGTTGCTGCACAGGAAGAACAGCAGTTCACCATCTTGTACCTGCCCTGGCTCAACAGTAAAGGCTTACCCATGTAATTTAGTGCCAAACGTGATGCTATCTATGTGCAACTTGCTAAATCAGAAAGTTGTCTGTTTGGGAATCACTTTTCAAAATGCGGTGGGAGCACTGTAAGACCTAATGTGCAAACTCTTTGCTTTGCACATGCTTCATCTCCAGTCTGCGTTTCCCATCCTCAGCCTCCCCTCTTCTCATATCAGTCTCTCTTTTGTCTCTTTGGAACAAAAACTGCCCTGGCCCAGATTTTTCTGCGCTCGGTAATCTTTGCCAGCACAGTGCATGCCTCAAACTCTGCAGTGCCAAGTCATTCAAAGGTCTGTGCTAAATGCTTTGTGATCCGTAGATTTTCTTGGTGTCGTTATCAAGCACCAGACTGGCCTTGAATGCGTCACAGAGCCCTGATTTAGCAGGGAGCAAGAGCTCGATGCAGAGCTCCTGCCCTGAGCGCAGAGCACTGCTGTGACAGTGAGGCTGCTGTTCTCCCAGAACAGCTTTGCCAAAAGTGTTGGATTTTCTCTACCCCAAATTCATTTCACTTATTACAGTATGTCAGATATGTAGCTGAAATGATATTGAAAGTCAAGTGAACAAGTGCGCTGTATGTGTTGCAGGGCCGTGTGGCTGGACCTGCGGTGGTGGTGAAGGTTGTGAATTGCTCCTCGTTATGAGCTAACTGATCAAACGCTTGCTCGTGTGAAAAGAGCAGTCTTTTTCATGGAAAGGTAGATCTGTCAACTGTCCCTCACGTCAATAAAAATGTGAACCTCCAAAATCCCATGACCGGATGCTTATTTTCGTGGGGAGCCCTAAAATTTGCAGGGGAGAGCTGTACTTGGTGTTGGGCTGTGGTGCATAATTATTTTCACGGCTAGCTAGCTAGTTTTAGGCCATGGATCTAATGTACTTGTTGCTGCAGTGTTCAGAGGCTCCTTCATGGAGCTGAGCCCCGCTATGCAGTGGTGCAAACTCGGAGCGTCGAGCAGCCGTTTGCCACGGAGAGCTGGCGGGGTTACGGAGAAGAGCGAAACAGGGTGACAGCGTTAGTTGCCGCGCTGGGCAGCGTGGCAGCAGCCGGCCAGGCTGACTCTGACCTTGGCAGCGGGGCAGAGGAGAGCTGCTAAAAAGAGATTTCGAGGAGGACGGTGAGGTGGTGCTGTGAATGTGCACAGGGAGGTCTGCTCAAGCACAGAGAGCTTGAGCTTGGGTTTGGGAGAGACAGAAGAGTGAGTGTTTGGAAATGGGGATGTTTGGGGTTGAAATCCTAGGCGGGTCGGGGAGGGCTGAGCGTTTTGGCACCAAATGAGCGATGAAGCTGGCATAACTCAGAAGGGGCCCTTGGAAGGAAAGAAAAATAACTAGGATCTGGAAATAAATGAGAAGCTGGATCAGTATGAAAGATAACAAGAATGAATATGTTTTTATAGTCTTTTCTCTTGCTTTGCATCTTGTTGAGTATGCACAAGAACTAGGCTAATGTCACAGGGTTGAGAGCAGCGTGGGACAGTGGGAGCAGGTTTTACCTCAGCTACTCAAGAGAGAAAAAATTACAAAGACCATTCACACTAAAAATGAATTGCTCCCAGAGTTGCCTTGAGGCTGTGATATTTATGTAAAACCCGCTGGTCATCTCTCATCATGTGTTTCTAGCAGGATGCCTGTTGCTTGGCAGTAACAGCTTTCCAAAATAACTTGTTCGTATAGTCTTGTTGGAGTAAGTGATCCTAGTTTCAAAACTAACATTAGAGATGTCAGGTAATTCCCATGTTGCCTCTAGGTGTAGCATATAACCTAAATAATAATTTGGGATAAAGGAATCGTTGTTTAACCTTGTTCATTATGCAGCCACTTGGCTGGTGAGTTAGCCTATGAATGGGATGATTCGCATTTATTTCATGGGACTCTAGAGCCCTTATTTGCAAAGGCTTTCATAAGAAATAGTCATGCAAGTCCCTTCAGAGATCTTTTATTGAATTCAAACTTATCATTACTCAAATGTGCAAAATGGGCAAGTGTGCATTTCTGTTTCTCTTGGATAATCAGATGTCCCTTATTTCTATGCTGCAGTAAATTCATCATTTACATCAGTGAAGCTGTTTCTTTACTTCTTTTCGAGGTAATAATTAGGTGTAATTGTTGGTCTTTTATACTGTACTCCAAACATAGTCACCTTACATTGTAGTTAAACACTTTCCTTTCCCTAGCACAGATCCTAGTGGTAAATGGTTTGCAGGTCTTCCTTCACTTACATTTTGAAGAATGGCATGAAGAAAACAGTTGTGCATTCCTTTCCCCTTACAGGTGGCTGGTAGTGAAAGACTCTTTCCTGCTGTACATGAAGCCAGATACTGGGGCCATCGCCTTTGTCTTGCTGGTGGATAAAGAATTCAACATTAAGATAGGCCAGAAAGAAACAGAAACTAAATATGGACTGCAGATTGACAATCTCTGTAGGTAAGAAATACAGACTTTTAGACTCTTTTTTTTTTTTTATTCTACCCCTTTTTTAATTTCTTTTTAAAAAAAAAAAAAAAAAAAAGGATTGCTTATAGCCAGGAGGTGTGACCAAGGTACGCCTGTCTGAGCAAGTGAGCAAAGTTCAGTCGAGTTTCCCAGCGGGGTTCAGCACCCGTCCAACCCTTGTGCCGGTGTGCAGCCACTGGAGCACTACACTTGCAGGGATTTTGCTTGGACCGTTGTTCTTTTCAGGTGTCTTGAAGTGACGTTTGGCATCTCAGCCACTGCTGGTTCATCTGGATAGTATTCCTCAGGAGTGGGAGGCATGGTGCCCGTTCAGTTGCACAGTTCGTTTCTTGCGGCGATTAGTTGCAGTAATTTTCAAGCCCCTTTGTTCTTTTATGCTGCAAACAGGAACATATTGCTCTAAGTCACAACTGGAGCATTACACAAAAGATGCGCTGCTTGGGATAAAGACATACATAACGTTTTCAAGGTAAAAGAATGTATAAACTTTTTAAAATATAGCATTAGCTGTGTCCTATTCTCCTCGCACTCACACTGGTTCTATTCGTTTAAATCTGGGGTATGTTTTATGCTTGGCAGTCTGCAATATTGTATAGCAGTCACACAGACTGGCTAGGTGCTGATACATTCTTTTGGAAACAAAACAACAAAGCCTGGTCTCTTGCTACTCCTTATCTTTTACTTAAATAAAACATGACTGATATAGGCGCATTTATCAACATGGGTAGA